ATTATTATCTAAATTTAGTAATTTGTACTTACAAACATACAAGTATCACATACATATGACACATAATGGAGGTTGCCATGTTCTTGCAAATGCTCGAAGTTCGCGCATCTCTTATCCGTGGTTCCGAGTTACGCATGAAGCGCATGATGCATCATTTATCCTTGTTGTTCATCAAATAATAAAGAAGAATAAAACGATACATCATGCGCTTCATGCGCAACTCGGAACGCACCCTTACTTGAGGATCTCTATTATCAGTGAATCAGTGAAGTTGGCCAACAGCCAACTTAACTTATGCCGGTGCCGGTAAAGTTCAACCATAGGATTTCAACGCTTTCGTTCATACTAAATTGCCGGATGCTGGTAACTTATGCTGTATCCGTAAAGTTAACTCAACTTTATCTTTAGCGGCAAGTGATGTAAAGGTTAGTTAAAATTTACAAGTCTGTATTTGTGTAACCACTGTGATCGATTCTATATCATTTCTGTTTCGATACGAACGAAGATGGAAAGAAACAGTTAATAGAGATATTAAATTAATAACCTTAGTGGAAAGATTTCCACATTTGTACGATATGCAGGTTTACGGCATGCAGCAAATCATTATAAACCAGAACATTAAAATTACCGGCATACGGTTACGGCCAATATAAATCAGGCTTAAGGGTCTGAGCACAAGAATTGTCGGAACTAACGTAACGTTTAGGGCCTCCGCACGAACATTGGCTGCGTTCAGCAGACTCAACAGTTTTGCAACTGTTTTATGATTCGTCGCGCTGATTGGATTATACTTTTAGATTTAAAGGAATAGTCCTATCTCAGCGCAGAATCATAAAACGGTTGCAAAACTGTTGAGTCTGCTGAACGCAACCATTGCCGTAGCGCCTTACCCCGGATCTACAATAGAGTTTTAAACTTTAAGTCATAAGAAATGGACGAATCACAGTCGATTATTCTTCTCGAATTCGACTGTAATTGGTTAATTTCTTACGGCTTAAGGCTTAAAACACCTATTGTAGATCCGGACTTATGCCATCTTATGTCAGAGCCTTGCGTTACTTCAACACGTTACCAGTCGTAAGACAAAACGTAAGTAACGCACAAAGAAAAACTTAGCATAAGAAGCTGCTGAGTCGGCTGAATAGCACAAGCAGTGGCAGGTAGTAAATCCGATAAAGATCAAACTATAACCAATTGTATTAATTAAATAAAACGATATTTCTAATGTTTTTGTAAATTTACAATAAGAAAAGGTGTCTATTGCGTATTAAAGCTGTAAAAGCAACGAAAATTCTATTATAACCTCTTTCTGATATTCTTTGCATAAAATATAATATTTATCGGAAACATTGTTATTAAAATTATTTATTACATTAATGGCCAAGAAAAACTGTCAATAACGAGTTAATGACAATGGATGTTAAAAAATATTAATAAAATGTAATTCGATAAATTAAAATTAATGCGAAACTAGTTTTAATTGTTCTGTAGTGTAGCCATACATATGTTCTTTATAGAGAATAATTCTTCTTCTTCTTCTTCTTAATTAATGGCTCCTACCTCCCTCGCTTAGGAGTATACGGAGGCAATACGGCCAGATCTCGTCTTAATGGATTACAGTCTTAATGGATTACAGTATCAAAAAGTGACGCAATGCCCGCGAAAATGGCGTTGCCCGAACGGACACCGGGCGCCTGCGTCTACAACGTCGTCACGTCGAAATAACGCGCGTCCGGACGAACGCACGAGACGAGCCAACTCGCGGACACGCGTCGGGAGGAAGCGATAGCACAGTCAAAGTCGGCAACACTTTCAAAAATATACGATTGTCAGCACCCGATCCGAAACGCGTCCGCCGCGGTCGAGTGGTTCTTCAGAACTCTATAGAGAATAATTGACTAACACATAAGAACATTAAAGGCCGCAGCACAGACTCTTGCATAACGCATAACGCATAGTGCATAAGCGAATCAACTAATCAGAATCTTTCCTTTCCTTCCATTCCATGGAAAAGAAGAATTTCGATTGGTCGATTCCCTTATGTACTATGCATTATGCGTTATGCAAGAGTCTGTGCTGCAGCCATAATTGTGACAACCCGGTAAAAATGTATGTATGATATATGTATATTTTTGTATGTATGATATATGTATATAAATATGTATAAACATGTATAAATATTCATAGATATGTGTAATTATATATGAAATATGTCCATACATTTTTATACATCTTTGTTTCTTTTGTAAAATAATTTTTTAATGTAATAAAAATAATAAGAAGAAGAAGAAAACATCAAAAATAATTAAAAGGATAATTTTCGCATTGATCGTTTTTGTTGCGAGTTTGAATTTTAAGTCGAATGTCGCGCGCGATGTCGCTGCCGTGCAGCCATGGTGTCCTACCACCTGGCCCCAGGGCGGCGCTTCCTGCTCTCGACACATGGCCGGCCATCTTCTCGTGTGTGTGCTTTTCTCAGTGAGTACGTCTTACGACGTCCCGTGGCAGTCCGGCGGTGTAAAGTCTGTCAGTATGTCTTACGACGTCCCGTGCCGTGCCGGCGGTGTAAAGTCTGTTAGTACGTCTTACGACGTCCCGTGCCGTGCCGGCGGTGTAAAGTCTGTTAGTACGTCTTACGACGTCCCGTGCCGTGCCGGCGGTGTGAACTCTGTAAGTACGTCATTCGACGCCCCGTGCCAGAACGGCGGTGTGAACTCGGTAAGTACGTCATACGACGTCCCGTGCCGGAACGGCGGTGTAAACTCTGAAGCACGTCTTACGACGTCCCGAGCCTGAGAGGCGGTGTTTGGAAGCTCTTCTATCAACCTCTCTCGCCGAAGTGCGAACAGTTTTAGAAAAAAATCAAGTTTAAAGATATGTAAACAAAATTGCTCATACCTAATTATATATAATTTTATGTATAATTATAATATATATGAGCACGCACACGCACGCACGCACGCACGCACGCACACAATTTCTTTACATTTCTGCAAACTTGATTTTTTCTTAAACAAATAATGCGAAAATTATCCTTTTAATTATTTTTGATGTTTTCTGATCATTATTGTTTTTATTACACTAAAAAGCAATTTTATAAAAGAAAAAAGAATGTATGGACGTATTTCATATATAATTATGTATGATTATAGGTGCGTTCGGCATTGCAAATCAGAGACATTCGTTTGCTCTTTCACCTCGCAAATCGTTCGGCAACTCGTATCTTTCAGCTACATGTCATCTCATCTGCGTTCGGTATTAACATTTCTAGAGCTAATCAAGCTCCTCAATCCACTCTGGATTCAAAGATCGAGCTTGTAGAGCTAATGTAAGTTTTTGCGCCTAAACTGAATTCATAGGCCGGTATTCATAGGCCGATATTCATAGTTAGTTCTTATATTTAAGACCGTCTTAAGTACAATCACAGTATATACAGTAGCGCAACTCTCTGTCGGCACCTTTGATGTCAGCGTGGATAAAAATGAACTGCACATGCGCGAGCGAGGTATGTAATCAATCAAGGCATTGATATTCCATCTCACCTCTTCTCTCTGTTGTAACCTTTTCTCTTTTTTTACTTTATTGCATAAGATCTGTTCTTTTTCCACTGTAAGTTCTGAACTGGTGTACACTGATGCAATAAGTTAAAATTTTGTACCAGAAATTAATATTTTTAGTACGGTTTAATTGAATTAATGTGTGTAAATCAGAAGCTATTGATGAAGACTTTGTAAAATTAAAACTAGTTTCGCATTAATTTCAATGTATCGAATACATTTTCGTTGCTTTTATATACTTTTACAGCTTTAGGGCCACTGTCACCAAGCTCAGTTAATTTAACTGGCCAGTTAGTCCATCAGAATTGACCAATCGCATTTGTCATTTTGTTTGAAGCAAACAAACTGGCCAGTTAAATTAACTGAGCTTGGTGACAGTGGCCCTTAATACGCAATAGACATCTTTTCTTATTGTAAATTTATAAAAACATTAGAAATATCGTTTTATTTAATTAATACAATTGGTTATAGTTTGATCTTTATCGGATTTACTACCTGCCACTGCTTGTGCTACTCAGCCGACTCAGCAGTTTCTTTTATGCTAAGTTTTTCTTTGTGAGTTATTTACATTTTGTCTTACGGCTGATAACGTGTTGAAGTAAGGGCCCTGGCACACAAAAAACTTAAGGCAGTAAGACGTAAACAGTAAGGAAATCAACATGTTGGATTCGCTACTGCTTATGTTATGGCCTTATGGACTCTACTGTGATTGGTCAATTCGCTTACTGCTTATGTTTTACTGCTTAAGTTTTTTTGTGTGCCATGGCCCTAACGCAAGGCTCTGACATAAGATGGTATAAGGCGCTACGGCAATGTTCGTGCAGAGGCCCTTACTTAGAGACTTAAGTTTTAAACGTAAGTAACGTACAAGCTTTGGTGTATGACATATGACTTAAGGCCATCACACGTACAAAAAT